CTCAACAGCTGCAATTCGCGGCTGTGATGTCATCACGTAAGCTGTCAAGCCCGCTTGCCCGGACTCTCCAGGGCGTCAGCCGCGCATCTGCCCCAATGTGCATCATCCCTTAACTCGTCCCCTCACAGCCGCCCCAGTCTTCCCCAGCTGAACACACCCGACCGGTGGCGACATGAGCTCCACCCTGCAAGAGTGGTCTCCAGATCTCGCTGGGAAACGCCCTCTCGACCGAGTGGAGGTGGCACAAGGGGTCGTGGGAAGGAAACGGAGGAACAGGGAAGAAACTTCAAGGAGGAAGGGGACGCAGCCTCCTCTGCACTTGGTTGGGCACGACGGGCTCAGCATCCTACGCTTACGCAAAGCCAGGGGGGAAGGCATGGAACACCCAACAGACGGCATGAGCATAAGCTTTCGGAGGTCCGCGCGGACTTCCTGGGCCGGCGCTACTGGGCCCCTTCACACTCCCCTTTCCGAAGCGCGCGCAGCGCGCTGAGGGCGGCGCCGGAGGCGCCGCCAGGTGTGAAGGGAGGGGGTGGCCAAGCGCGGAACCTCAGGAAGTCCGCGCGGACCTCCGAACATCTTCGATTGCGTGTTTTCGTTTTCTTCGAGCCTGGGGCTTTCTCCAGGACTTGCTTTTCACCCGAGGTAGGTCTCTCAGGGCCCTGGGGCCCCTGGTACCCGAGAACTCGAAAACGGCGAAGAACTTCCAATGCCACTTTCCTCCAGGACCCGATTCCTTCACGGGGATCCCAGCTCCAGCGTCAACTATCGGCCCCCCGCCAGAACCTCGAAGCGGAACCAACCAGGGCGACGAGAGGCCTTTCGGAGGCAGCATCAATCAGAAGACATCCCAATAGCCTCGATCCTCGACTTCTCTGCGGGAGGGGGGGGGGGGGGCGGAGAATGCAATCTGCACTCTTCAGCCGCGGCTGGCGTTTCCCCCCCTCGAGGTCTTGGGGGCGCATTTCTCTCTTGCCTGCGCAGGCTTCCGGCGATCTTTCTTATTTTGCGATCGCTGCTCCCTCTTGTCGCTGGATGCTACGTGGCTGGCCCCATGACAGATTCTACCGAGACGGCCGTCTCGGCGTGATCCAGACGTCCTGCCAGATCGGGGCCCCAGGGGGTGCAGGCAGACGGGCGATGCGCCTCGCAGGCACTTGCGCCGTCAAGAGCTCCAGAGACTGGTTTTTGAACTCAAAAGCCGAACCGGTTCTTGAATCACAAACTGATGTCTGAGCTCAGAAACTGGCTCTTGGATACAAAGCGAGGTGGTTTTCTTACTACAAAAGCTGTACTACTGGAACTCAAGAACCGAACTCTGCCCTCGAGCACCCCCGCCTCTGCGAGGGTGGCAGCACGAGGGAGGCCCAGGTCAAGGGGCCCAAGAACGCACAAATAATTACACACAAATAAAATGACTCCCCATGTTTTCCCATATTTTCTGGGTCTTTGTCTTCCCGCCCACTTCCCATAGTTTCCCATATTTCCTCGGGGATCGACGATGAATCGTGTCTGTGTGTTTTTTCCCCTCCTGACCGGGGCCCGCCCGGGCCCGCCCACCTTCTGCCGGCGCCCGCTGGGCGGAGCCGCCCCCCCGTGCTGCCTCCGCGGGCCCTCCTCCGCAGCAGGGCGGCCGCCCTCCCGATCCCTCGGGGGCGCGAGGGCCACCTCGCCAGAGGAGGAGGGAGGGAGGGGGACGAGGGAGGAAGGGGGGAGGAAGGGGGAGGAGGAGGCGGAGGATGAGGAGGAGGGGCGAGGAGGAGGAGGAGGAGGAGGAGGAGGAGGAGGGCCAGGAGGGAGGAGACGGAGGGCGAGGCCCCTGCTGTGGAGGATGTGACCTGCACGCGCCCCGTCCGAGGGTAGCGCTACATTCCCCAAAGGTCTCCGCTGCGCGGTCGATGGGGGAGCGAGGGTTTGCGAAGGGGGAGCCGATCCCCCTCTTCCTCCTCCTCTTCTTCTTCCTCCTCCTCCTCTTCTTCTTCTTCTTCTTCTTCCTCCTCTTCCTCCTTCTTCCTCCTTCTCCTCCTGCTCCTCCTCCTCCTCCTCCTGCCCTCCTCCTCCTCCCTCCTCTCCTCTGCTCCTGCTCCTGCTCCTGCTCCTGCTCCTGCTCCTGCTCCTGCTCCTGCTCCTGCTCCTGCTCCTGCTCCTGCTCCTGCTCCTGCTCCTGCTCCTGCTCCTGCTCCTGCTCCTGCTCCTGCTCCTGCTCCTCCTCCTCCTCCTCCTCCTCCTCCTCTCATTCCACACCCCGATGCCATCTGCACTCAAAAGCTCTGGCACTTTTGCCATTTTGTGCTGGGACCCCCGTCCTGGCGCCCTCTCTCGTTCGCACGCGCAGACGGGAGGCAGGAGCTTCGCAACAACACCTGCCACCGTGCGCCATGTGGCCACGACAACGGCGTCTGCTGACCTCACGGTCCCGCTTTGGCAAGCAGGCGCGGGTGCAGCTTAAGGGCGAGTGTCACCATGAGAGGCGCCTCTTGCCTTTCCCGTTCTCCTCCTCCTCTCTCACCTGCCTCCTCTCCCCTCCCCTCCTCGCCTTCCCGCGCCTTTCCCATCCCTCCTCCTGATCAGCAATCCATCCCTGTCGCACTATCAAACGTGTCCGTCGCCGGGCTGGGCGTCTCGCTTGAACCCGCCTTACAGCTCGCGATGCAGAAGCTGAACCTGTCTACATGTTATACGGACACGACGGCGACACCTTTGATACGCGTGGCTCTGACCTGTGCGCCGCGCGCGTTCGACTTAGACGCTTCCAGCACTTACACGGGTGGCGGGCGGTACGGCACCTTTTCAACATGAGGCTCCCGCACTGGTGCCGCGAACGTTCGCCGTAAACGTTTCCAGCAACTTCCCAGATGGAGGCTGGTACGTTTTCGAAATGGGGCTCTGGCACTTCCTGAACATCTCTTACCACACATGTACCAGTGTGCAGCACTTGCACGGATGGAAGCCGCCTCGTTTTCAACACTTGACCAAGAGTGAAATCGTGTCCAACAGTTGACAGATGGAGGGCGGCTCTTATCCCAAATGGGGCTGTCGTTGGGCACTTCCTTGAATTTACCCCCCCCCCCCTTCCTTTGAGCAGGGACCGACCGCCCTGGCATTCCCATAGGTCTACCACGGAATGTTCTTAGAACCCCCAAATGTTCAAATGTCAAAAGCAATGTTCTTAGAACATGAGCCCGATGTGTTGAACCCAGACGGTCTTAGCCACTGTTCTAAGAACATGTCGTGCAGACCACAACAAGGCTCTTATATGACATTCTTTGGTGGGCCTATCGGCGAGCCAGGATGCTTCGCCGCTGCTCGACGCTTGCCGCATGCCAGGAAGCTCGAAAGATGGAGGCCAATTTTCGGGGGCGCGCAAACATGGATTAGCGATCTATGGATCTGGCGCGCGGTCGCCGCCAAATCCACGAATCGGGGGAGGTGCCCTCTCCAAAATGCGGCCGGTGCTGCTTCGCTCGGTGGCGGGAATCCACGATTTCCCATGGAAACGGGACCCGTCGCTAATCCACGCCCCCTTGATCCATGCTTGCGATCGCCTGATGTTGTTCATTAGTCATGCGGGGGGGGGGGCTGGAGGAGGAGGAGGAGGAGGAGGGAGGAGGAGGAGGAGGAGGAGGAGGAGGAGGAGCAGGAGGAGAAGGAGGAGCAGGAGGAGGAGAGCAGGAGGAGGAGGAGGAGGGGAGGAGGAGGAGGAGGGAAGTTTCTTTCAAAGAGGAACTCCCGCCTGAATGGCGGGCCTGCGGGGCGCTCGCCGCTCGAGGCAGGGGGGGGGGGGGGGCGCTTCGTGCCGGGAGAGAAAGCGTGCACACGGGGACTGGCGAGGAGCGGACTTCGGAGGGGAGGGAGCACTGCAGCATCGTTGGCACGTGTGGGGTTTGCTCTGGCCTTCCTCCTCCCCCTCCTCCCCTCTCCTGCCCCTTCCCCCCTCTTTCTCCCGCTCCTCTTCCATCCCCGTGTCCTCCTCCCCCTCCTCCTCCGCCTCCTTCGACGACGACCCCAACGACGACGATGCACATGACGACGACGCTGGCATCGACGACGGCGCCGACCACTTCGTCGAAGACGACGACGTCGTGAGCGGCGACTTTTGCCCTCCGTGGTCGGCGGCTCAGGGTGCAAGGGTGGGGGGGCGGCGGCTGATAGGTCGCAGAGGCGCCCCGCATACAGCCTCGGCTTGCCGCGCCGCGTGCCGCAGGGATGGAGGCAGTTGGAGCCGTGGCCCTGCCTGCCGAGATCCCAGGCCGCTGCGAGGCCGCGCGGGGCAGCTGGGGCCTCTCGACGTGTGGCTTTCCCGCACTCGCGGATCTGCGCGGCTACCACTCCGCACACCCGGGGGGAATGGGGCGAGGACGATGGGAGATGAGCGGGGCGGGGGGGACGCAGGGGAGGGAAGGGATGCAGGGAGGGAGAGGGGGAAACAAGGCAGGATGATGATGATGATGATGATGATGATGATGATGATGATGATGATGATGATGATGATGATGATGATGATGATGACGATTACGGTGGTAATGATGAGATGCTGATGCTGATGATGGTGCTGATGATGATGTTGCTGCTGACGATGAGGGTGACGACAATGATGGTGACGACGACAACGATTATGATGGCTATGATGATGATGACGATGCTGATGCTGATGCTGCTGATGATGATGATGATGATGATGGTGATGATGATGACGGTGGAGGTGATGGTGATGGTGATGGTGATGATGGTCCACCTCTTATTGGAACGCACGCAATGCACAGCGCCCAAAACTGTCCAGGACGACCCAACCCGTCCTCGAGGATCCCTGGGCGGCCGTAGCGACCACCAAATGATGCTGATGACGATGATGAACATGATGATGGTCACGTTGATCGTGGTAGTGATGGCGATCATGATCAGACCTTGGTAGGCCACCAGGTCCGCCAGGCGTGCTCGCAGAGCCACGGCTGAGTGGGACCTGCCTGCCACGCGCGCAAGCCCGCGCGGCTCACAACGACGTTGCCCACGGCGAACAGGATGGCGGCGGTGAGCAGGTGCGCCACGGCCCACAGGACGGGCCG